CCTCGCTTTGTGCAGGTCGGCGTTCGATCCCTGACAGTCCAAGTGCCTGGACACCATTCCTTCAGTTCGTCCTTATTCACCAGCTCCTTGTCCTCATATCCCTTCCAAGATGTACTGGCTTAGCGCCAGTACGTAAGTTCTTATATAGCTTTGTGAGGAGCGTTCTCATGTTAGTCAGCATCTCATATGCTGCTGATGTTACCATGTTTGTGTGTGTCTGCTTTTCGTGCTGGAATTAAATCTGCCCCGAAACCTTTCCGTAGCTGCCTTTTACTTATAGTGTTGAGTCTTTAAGGTATCCTGTCTCCTTTTGCCATCTTCATTACCTTGCACTTGTTGGGGTTGAAATCCAGCAGCCACTTGCCTGTTCATCCCTGTAGTTTGTTAAGGCTTTCCTACTTATTTTTCTATGCTATCCTGGTTTGCAAATATTGTCATGCACGAACGGATTATGTTATTTCCTTGCATCTCATTCACTTGGGCTTCGATTTTGGGATAGCAAATTGTCCAGGACAGAGCCTTAAGAAACTCCTTCAGATGCATTTTGTAACTTGGAGCTATCGGAATGTAACCTTCGTTTTCCCGTCTGCAAGGTACTCCCTTATCCAGTTCTGTCTCTTCAGTTATTCCAGCTTTGCTTTTTTTTTTATCTTATATTCACGTCTTGCGAGGGACAGTATTCAGCGCGTTTTGGCACTAGGAATATGTCGTCTGGGGACCAAACCAAACAGCAGAAAATTGCGAAACGAGGACGTTTCGGTCCGTCCTGGACCATTATCACATAACTTAATGGTCCCGGACGGACCGAAACGTCGTGGTCGTTTCCTACATATTCTGATGTGTGGTTTGGTCGTCACATCTTCAGCCCCGTTATTGTGACTCGTCGTCTGCATGTCATTATTAACTGACATCCATCACCCTTATAGTAGATGTGGTCAATAATACATGTGGTCAATAATACATGTGGTCAATAATACATGTGGTCAATAATACGTGTGGTCAATAATACATGTGGTCAATAATACATGTGGTCAATATTACATGTGGTCAATATTACATGTGGTCAATATTACATGTGGTCAATAATACATGTGGTCAATAATACATGTGGTCAATAATACATGTGGTCAATAATACATGTGGTCAATAATACATGTGGTCAATAATACATGTGGTCAATAATACATGTGGTCAATAATACATGTGGTCAATAATACATGTGGTCAATAATACATGTGGTCAATAATACATGTGGTCAATAATAAATGTGGTCAATAATACATGTGGTCAATATTACATATGGTCAATATATAGAGTGTGTCACTGGTAGATGTCGCTAGTTCCTAGTGTGTGTGTTGCTAGTGGTGGTCACGCTGCTAGAAGATGGTATGTGTTCAGTGTGTAAGAGCTCTCCATACCATCTTAGCTCGTACATATTTGAAACTCAAGAGTTAATGTGAAATATATAATTATTAACTGTTCAAAGTTCGCAGGTTGACAGTACAATAACCTTGCTCACCGACCAGGAAAACACTGACAAATTTGGTTGATTAAACACATTGTGAAATCTTTTTAAATTATTTTGAAAGTCGTATTGAACTCATTAAGATTTTAACAGGTCTTAAAACCTATCTAGACTTACTCAACCCAACTTAACCTAATCCAACCTAAACTAACCTAATCTGGTCTTACCAAGCCAAGCCTAATCTAATCTAAACTAACTTTACCTAGATTTATCTAACCTTAGCCATCTAACTAAACCTTAATTAACCTAGCCTAAATTGAACTAACAATTACAAAAACTAACCAAATCAATGAAACAGCTCTCAACAAAATGAAGTTATTCTATACTCAAATACACAAACAAGTACACATAATCGGTCTTATTAGAGTTTACAGTAAAGAGACAAATTAAAAAAAATATGAAAACAATAAAGGCTTTGAAGAAGGTAAACGCAAAGACACTGTATGATCGACCAGGCTGTTGTCTCCAGCGGGAGAACCAGAGCTTAGCCTCCACACCAGGGAACACTGCCCCGTCGAGCCATTTTACTAATTAGCTACCTTTGGAGACATGGGGGGGGGGAGAGGTCGTCCTCCAGGTCTGGACGACGGAGGAGAGGTCGTCCTCCAGGTCTGGACGATGGAGGAGAGGTCGTTCTCCAGGTCTGGACGACGGACGAGAGGTCGTCCTCCAGGCCTGGACGATGGAGGAGAGGTCGTTCTCCAGGTCTGGACGACGGAAGAGAGGACGTCCTCCAGGCATGGACGACGGAGAAGAGGTCGTCCTCCAGGCCTAGACGACGGAGGAGAGGTCCTCCAGGTCTGGACGACGGAGGAGAGGTCGTCCTCGAGGTCCTGACGACGGAGGAGAAGTCGTCCTCCAGGTCTGGACGACGGAGGAGAGGTCGTCCTCCAGGTCTGGACGACGGAGGAGAGGTCGTCCTCCAGGCCTGGACGACGGAGGAGAGGTCGTCCCCCAGGCCTGGACGACGGAGGAGAGGTCATCCTCCAAGCCTGGACGACGGAGGAGAGGTCGTCCTCCAGGCCTGGACGACGGAGGAGAGGTCGTCATCCAGGCCTGGACGACGGAGGAGAGGTCGTCCTCCAAGCCTGGACGACGGAGGAGAGGTCGTCCTCCAGGTCTGGACGACGAAGGAGAGGTCGTCCTCTAGGCCTGGACGACGGAGGAGAGGTCGTCCTCCAAGCCTGGACGACGGAGGAGAGGTCGTCCTCCAGGCCTGGACGACGGAGAGGTCGTCCTCCAGGCCTGGACGACGGAGGACAGGTCGTCCTCCAGGTCTGTACGACGAAGGAGAGGTCGTCCTCCAGGCCTGAGCGACGGAGGAGAGGTCGTCCTCCAGGCCTGGACGATGTAGGAGAGGTCGTCCTCCAGGCATGGACGACGGATTAGAGGTCGTCCTCCAGGCCTGGACAACGGAGGAGAGGTCGTCCTCCAGGTCTGGTCGACGGAGGAGAGGTCGTCCTCCAGGTCTGGTCGACGGAGGAGAGGTCGTCCTCCAGGTCTGAACGACGGAGGAGAGGTCGTCCTCCAGGCATGGCCGACGGAGGAGAGGTCGTCCTCCAGGTCTGGACGACGGAGGAGATGTCGTCCTCCAGGCATGGACGACGGAGGAGAGGTCGTCCTCCAGGCCTGGACAGCGGAGGAGAGGTCGTCTTCCAGGCCTGGACGACGGAGGAGAGGTCATCCTCTAGGTCAGGACGACGGAGGAGAGGTCGTCCTCCAGGCCTGGACGATGGAGGAGAGGTCGTCCTCCAGGTCTGGACGACGGAGGAGAGGTCGTCCTCCAGGTCTAGACGACGGAGGAGAGGTCGTCCTCCAGGCCTGGACGACGGAGGAGAGGTCGTCCTCCAGGTCAGGACGACGGAGGAGAGGTCGTCCTCCAGGTCTGGTCGACGGAGGAGAGGTCGTCCTCCAGGTCTGGTCGACGGAGGAGAGGTCGTCCTCCAGGTCAGGACGACGGAGGAGAGGTCGTCCTCCAAGATGAACCAGAAAAGATGAAGACAAATGCTCAAGAGATATTGCAAATGAACCGCTGTACCACGGACACAACTTTTTGAAACAATATTTTTTTTTTAGACTAGTTGTATTTTAAGGTAGACTCATTTGGGAATTTTAGGCATTTAGGAATTTTAGGCATTTAGGAATTTTAGGCATTTAGGAATTTTAGGCATTTAGGAATTTTAGGCATTTAGGAATTTTAGGCTGCATTCTAATCCGTTAAGAATGCAGCGGACTAGTAAACAGTTATAGCACAGTGATATTGGTACTTTCCATGCTTGAGCCTCGATGGAGAGAAGAGGCAACATTGCATGCACGGGATATACCAGCCTGTCTTGTTGTAGATTCAACTTCTCTGAACAAACAGTTGCAAGTAGCACGGGCTAAGGTGATCCCGTAGTGGACTTCCCTGGCTGTGTTATCGTGCTGCATATATATATTACTCAGGCTCAGGCGCCATAAACAGTGGCACCCTCGAAGGAAATATGGCTCGAACAGCAGACCACGATGAATCATTATGAGCTGGCATGCTGCCCCCGGCATGCTGCCCCCGGCATGCTGTCCCCGGCATGCTGTCCCCGGCATGCTGTCCCTCGGCATGCTGTCCCCGGGTGACAAACCACGCACAAAATAATGATGCTTCAAGACTGGCTTCAGAATTTATGGTCCTGATTTATTAAAAACGAATAAAGGAGCTGAAGCCTCTGGAAGAAATCAGAAATATAAGGAATATGATCTAGACGTACAAAATACTCGGTTATAACGTTTAAAATCCTAGGAGAAACACATAATGCCAACATATATTTGTTTAACGTGGTGAACAACAGGGACGATGGAATATAGATGAAAAACTAGAAGCAAAAATAAGCAATAGATGATAAATATAACTTGAATGAATTGGGGACGTGGTTGCAAAGCAATAAGCAGGTCATGTTCCAGGAAGAACAAGTAGGGATAATGTTTCCTAGGGCCATTGGAAAGGGGAAAAGATCTCAGCCTGCTAACAGGAGTGGACTCCTGCGTCCTGCCTGGAGGCTAACAACATGTGCTTTACGACAACAACAACAACATATCAACATGTGCTTTATTGTTTACCTGTGTCAAATAACCAGTACTTGTAAAGACTAGTAGTTAAGAACACACTGGAGAACGTGTTCACTCGCCCCTAAAATTGCAACTTCTGCTATTGCTACCACTACCATGCCATTGTCACAACCACTACCATCCCCACCACCACCACCACCACCACCACAACAACCCCCCCCCACAACCACCACCAACCACAACAATAATTACGAACGTCATCCCCCCCTCCCCCCCCCCCCCACACTAACATCATATAGATTCAGATTCAGAAACTGAACCATTAACCGACACCCGACAACCATTAACACAAACCATCACAATAACGGCTGGAGTAAACAGCTGTACAACATCCTAAATCAAACCTTAAAAGGTGAGATGTACTCACCTAGTT